AACACGGAGAGGGTTGATGGCATGTTTGCGTGCAATGGTAAGTCTCCTGGTTAAGTCGTCGATTTTATGCGTAGAAGACCAGCTCATAGGTGCGACAATGAATGTCTCAGGGGAAGCAAAATCCGTTGCCTTTAAGCCGAGGTTGGTGAGTTGCGCAGCGAGGTAACTTCTGGGCAGGTACACCTGGGGTGATGGGGACTGGTAATGCATGCCATTTCTTGAATTAAATAAATAAATAGTATATTGTCGAATTTGTCGTGACACACCAAACCAGGCATGAGCAACACTTACGTGCAATTATGTTTCGCAACCAACACGTTGCTATGTATGTAATCAGCAGTTAGCCAAAACTTGTACAGGCTTTGGGAATTGAAAAATTAACCATGAGGAATAAAGTCGTCATGCATGACGACGCGATGGGTTCTAGCGTGCGTAGTGTAAAAGTCTGGGCATTAAATGTGTATTGAAAACGATACATGCAGGCAGGGAGTATCTTATTCTTGAACGTGTCAGGAAAATATCAAATTATGACCTAGTCGACCAGACAGTATGTACTGGTGGGCGGTGACTTTATTCATTGGCGGGTTACATCCGCCACGTCGCAGTGTTGTTAAACGGATATTTGTGGCTATTTATAGGGGTAAAGCTTGCCAGGCGAAAACATGAGGTGTTGCAGGGGTTGGTTGCGATTTCTCAAGGGCATTTATGGGATGTTTAAGAGCCTGTAAAGATGGTATAGCGGCCTCGTCTAACAGTCTTGTGAGTTGTGGCGGGTCTTAACCCGTTATGTTCCATAAAAAGGGAGCGGGAATGATTGAGCTTTTAGGGCGCGGGCGATTAATCTTTGCAGGCGAGGGTGGGGTGTTGTGTTTCCTTATTTTGCGGTGTGTTCAAAAAAGCAGCAGGTTTGTAGCGGAGTACCTGCAATTGATTAGAGATGCTGTCAGTTTGCTAGCACCGCGGAAATAGCAGCATTAGAGAGTAGGGTGTGAATTCGCCAGCATACCGTGTTATATTGTACAGTCTCGGGTTGAGAGAATGGTTTGGCTGAAGGCAGTGATGTGAGGCATTTGTGTCGCTCTTGTTAGCGCTACCGGGTGCGGAGCGGGAGTCGCGCGTGTGCTGGCTGTGGCTGTGGACATTGGCTTTTCTATGCTAAACAGTTGGAGTTGGAAACAGGTATGGTTTTCCAGGAGCCGCACTTGTTCGTACGTAGTCGTGGTCTACCACATTGGTCCATACTTGTTAGATATTACCTTCAAGGTCGCAATCTGTCTATTCTAAGAAGAGCACTTGTTAGGTAGCACGGAGGTGGGGATTGTCTGTGTTAATTGGGCGTTCACTGTTTTGATGTCTCGGCACGTAGGAGTTGCAAAAGGCAGGCTTTTTAACGCGCCTTCGTTTTGAGCGGTTGCGTGAGAGTTAATTAGTAGTCAGTGGGGTGCTTGTCATAAGGTCGTTGGATGTGTTGCCAATAACCTCTTCTTGCAGAGGTTCTGTATCAGTGTCACACATGTCGGAAACGTTCAGTTTATGTACATCAGCCTCATCTTGACCGGTAGCAGCTTCATGGTGCACTACTGAGAGGGCTAGCTTCTTCACTGTGTCGGACGAAGTTAGTTCAGTGCTGTAGGCCTTTGTCACATTGGGGTCCACATGCTGTTGGGACAGGTCAAGATCTACCAAGATTGAGGAAGCAAGTCCAGTCGCGGTGAAGAAACCTTCCGCCCTTAGCTTAGGCGGAGGTTTGTTGGATGATGCAAATGCTCTTTGCAGAGGTATTTTTCCGACTTGCTCACGATAGGCCCCAAATTGGCTGCATCTCGCATAACGAATCGCTTTAAGTATTAGAGTCTTGGCCAGTCCTTGGTCTCTAAAATTGATTAGTATAGGGCACGAGTTACATTTGGACGTATCTCGTAGACGTTTATTTTTAAAGGAGTTAGGGGTCATGCTACCGAGATTGGTGAGTGCGTGCTTCACCTTCGCTAATTTGGTTTTGTCGGGGACATTGAATATCATTACGTTATTTGTACGACGAACTCGTTCGGAAAATTCCTTAGCAATATGTGTAAGTAGCTCGTTTGCTACTTTGAGTAAATTCACATCATTGGTCTGTGTGATTCACGAGAACTGAGATGGTAACATCATTGTTTCTAGGGTGTTGCTCAGTACAGAGATGTTGCTTTTGAGTGCGTTCAATTAGTTCTCAAGCAAGTTAATGTTATCATGTGCTTCTCAGTGGATCTGAAATGATTATCCTGCGGTCAGAAGTTGGGGCTTAGACTGTATTATCAGGTTGTGGCTTAGTTGATTTAGCAAAGTTGTCAGCAGGTCTGTTCATACACTGCCTTGCTCGCATTGTCTTACTTGGATCTGACAGGAGGGTGGTACGTCAAGTTTTGTTCTCAGTGTTTACACAAAAAGTGTTGCCCGATTTAATTCTCCATGGAAACAAGATAGTAGAACAAGTCAGGTAGTCTAACTATTATATTGAATAGTAGTAAAGCGTCAGAATAACCAACAAAATGTCAAAAACGCACAGCTTCAAACTTCGTGCAGTCAAGGTCAAGGTAACGTAGTGATGACACTCCTGCCTTACCCGGGAAATCATTAACATAGCTACTAAATAACCTTGGCCCCAACCTCGAGCTTTGCGGGACGTCACTAAGGAATGGCAACCTACCTAAAAGGCTGCGCTCCACTCGTAAGCACTGTCCCATCCCTCAGATACCGCAGACAACCATTAATGGCACTACCGGATATCCCTGAGATCTCACGTTTAGTGAGAGTCGAAGATAAGGAACAGTGTCAAAGGCTTCCGAGAAGTCCAAAATAGCAAGCCTACAGCGTGACCACTGTCTAGCGCTTCTACCCAGTTTTCACGAACTACAAGTAGATTAGTCTGACACAAAAATCCCTTGCGGTATCCAGGTTTTGCAACACTTGGAATGTTAAATCTACTCAGTTTTTTCTCCACTGAATCCCTTATTAGCTTTTGAAACAAGTTGTCTACTACATTTGTCACACTGGCAGGCCTGTACTTGGCAGGGTAGAGCTCTGTCACTGCTTTTAAAAATCGGACAGGTGATTTCCTCCTTCCATTCAAGCGCTATCAAAAACAAGCAGTTAGAATGACGCTCATCTCGGCAGCCGATTCATGCAACAGCTTCGGATGAAATGAATCAGGACAGGAAGCTTTAGTGGGAGTAACGCCTTGCAGTAGTTCGACGTCCTGTGTCGACGTTATGTTAAACCCAGCCAGGCGAGGATCCTCTGGGGCTCTTGAAATTAATGCAACCTGTGGTAAACATTGTCCCAAACAAAGACCCACTGTACTGATGACTAAGTAAATAAGCCTTGTCATAGTCAGTTTGCCCACGACTCTCCTCTAACTCGCCATACAGCTGGTATAAGCAAGTAGGCCCCGTTGCGTCGTTTTACGTACGCAAAAGCTTGGGATTAGCTCCGGCCGAGTCCGTTAAACCATGCTCGCATTTAACATGAAACGTCCGGAGATGTTGCTTATATTTATTTCTGGTAATATATGCCTTAGTCTCTCCTAGCTCCAAATGCTATGGATGTAGCGCCTAGTGAGAGGAAGTCATGACCTTTGGTGCCATCCACTGTCACCTGCCAGGGCAGTAACCTGCGTGGCGGTGGAAGCTAAATCGTGCTATATCCCAGTTAGCTTGCAAACTGTGTAACCTAGCCGACGGCCCCCATGTCTCAGTGGCTTAAGCTGTTGGCTGGTTGGCATCTGCCTCCAGCGGTCATGGGTACGATCCCCAGAAGGTGGCCTTAGGAATGCGCGCCACGGATGAGCCACTAAGGGCGAAACGCGCCTGGCGCGTTTCAGGTATAGCTTGTGCTATCTAACTTGTATGCAGCTGAGACGAAATCCTTACTATTTCTAAAATCTCGAAAACTGTCTTGCGTACTGGCTGATGGAGCTGCTTGGTAGGTTCGCCAGCACTTGATCATTTCGTGCGCAGGTACTTGTCCGTGGTGTCTAGCAATGGAAGCTGTGCTCGTACCACTTCTTTTCTCAAGCTTGGGATATAAGCAGTGGATACCTCCGTAAGGTATGCCCTAAAGTTATCGCTACTAACTGGAGACATCGGCCATCGAAATCTCGCAGTTCAGAAATGAACTCAGCTCGGATTTCACTGTGGTCTGCTCGACAATTATTCGGAAGTAAGTTAACTGTGGTTTGTTGGAACCATGCTAGAGCACCCCGAAATAATATACATGCGCGATCGCTAGACCCTAGAAGTGTACCGTAGGAAACGTTAAACAATGGGGATTAGCGAAAACCAGACATAAAGTAGATGGTATTTGCTTGGCAGTTTGCAATGCAGCCGTCCGTTCAGCCCTTCCGTAGGGTTGCAAAATTTGGGCCACCAAGTCAAAATACATATAGAGGCTAGTTACGTCTGATCATCGATGCTTTCGCAGCCTAGCTCATATCTGGTGGGAGCACTGTGCGGAGGTTGCACATGATCCGCGTTGTGTAGTTGGTGCAGGAAGAGTGCGTAAAGCCCTCCAAATCGTTGTATCACGCGCTAGCCTCCGACCGCTGGGCTACGTGTTGCCTATGTCAGCATACCGGCAGCAGCATCGTGCGTGGATTGCGCACCAGGTAGGTGCATGAAAGAATGGGAGGGGAGGCCAAGCGCTAACTTGGTCAAGAGGAATAAAAACCCACACCTCTAATTTAGCGTCCGTTTGTGTTTTCCGACTGCTGGGCTGGGGTCTAAAAGGCGATGAACGCATTTGGTTGGACACACTAGTTGATATGGCGAGGAGTCCACCTCAGTGGTGTTTGCGTTGTGAGCTGTTCTGTCCCACCCCATCCTGCTTGGCTTTGTTCTGCAACCAAGATCCCAGCCTCGAAGCATATGTTATCATGCAGTATAGCACCTGTTGGTTGTTGTGCTCTACAATGCATTGAATCTCGCAGTGCGACGCAATACCTGAAGTTTTTGCTAACCTTTAGCTCATAGTGGCAGGGGGTACTTAAATACAACCCTCCCCCCCCCAACACCCCCCACCCCCCCCCCACCACCTATCCCACCACCTAAACCCCCTCTCAAAATATCCCCACCACACCCCCCAACCACCCCCAACCCACCACCAACCAAAACCAACCACCCACCCCAACAAACAACCACCCCCCCAACCCCCCCCACACACCCCACCACCCCCAACCCACACCACCCCACCACACCACACCACCCAACCCAAACACCACCCAACAAACCCCCCAAACCCCAACCCCCCAAAACCCAAACCCCCCCCCAACCAACACACCCCCCACCCAACAAACCCCCCCCCCCCCCACACACCCCCCACCCACCCCCCCCCCCCCACCCCCAAACCCCAAAACCCCCACAACACCACCCCCCAACCCCACCCCACACAACAAACCACCCACAATCCCACAACAACCAACCAACCCCACCCCACCCAACCACCCAACCCCCCACCCCCCCCCCACCCCCCAACACAACACCACCCCCCCCACCCCCCCCCCCACCCCCCCCCCCCCCACCCCCCCCCCCCCCCCCCCCCACCCCCCCCCCCCCCCCCCCCCACCCCCCCACCCCCACCCCCCCCCCCCCCCCCCCCCCCCCCCCCCCCCCCCCCCCCCCCCCCCCCCCCCCCCCCCCCCCCCCCCCCCCCCCCCCCCCCCCCCCCCCCCCCCCCCCCCCCCCCCCCCCCCCCCCCCCCCCCCCCCCCCCCCCCCCCCCCCCCCCCCCCCCCACCCCCCCCCCCCCCCCCCCCCCCCCCCCCCCCCCCCCCCCCCCCCCCCCCCCCCCCCCCCCCCCCCCCCCCCCCCCCCCCCCCCCCCCCCCCCCCCCCCCCCCCCCCCCCCCCCCCACCCCCCCCCCCCCCCCCCCCCCCCCCCCCCCCCCCCCCCCCCCCCCCCCCCCCCCCCCCCCCCCCCCCCCCCCCACCCCCCCCCCCCCCCCCCCCCCCCCCCCCCCCCCCCCCCCCCCCCCCCCCCCCCCCCCCCCCCCCCCCCCCCCCCCACCACCACCACCCCCACCCCCCCCACCCCCCCCCCCCCCCCCCCCCCCCCCCCCCCCCCCCCCCCCCCCCCCCCCCCCCCCCCCCCCCCCCCCCCCCCCCCCCCCCCCCCCCCCCCCCCCCCCCCCCCCCCCCCCCCCCCCCCCCCCCCCCCCCCCCCCCCCCCCCCCCCCCCCCCCCCCCCCCCCCCCCCCCCACCCCCCCCCCCCCCCCCCCCCCCCCCCCCCCACCCCCCCCCCCCCCCCCCCCCCCCCCCCCCCCCCCCCCCCCCCCCCCCCCCCACCCCCCCCCCCCCCCCCCCCCCCCCCCCCCCCCCCCCCCCCCCCCCCCCCCCCCCCCCCCCCAAGATATGTCGATTTGGTCTCTACACGGACAGCCCCAGGACGCCTGTGTCTTTAGAGGGACGTAAGTGGCTTTCCCGGCTCCACGCACAACTCCATCTGCACCCCCATATCCATTGTAAACCCGAAGGGATAAGAGCGAAGACATGTGAATAGGAGCCACGTTCTATCAACGGAGCCGGCCCACTCTCCTTCAAAGACAACCCCAAACACGCTGCTTTTGGAGAAGCAAGCCTACCCAGGGCGGCAATTAGGTCGTAGCCTTCGACACACGCAAACCATGTGTATAAAACCACCCTTTGAGCATAATACGGTCACGAGGACCGTGCAATTCGCCCCTCCAGCAAAGGCTAACATTCTCCTGGAGCCAGTATGGATAAGTTAATGGGTAATAGAGAAGTAGACAACCTGTCAACGTGTACGTAAAGCGCAACCACACAGGGGAGGTCAAAAATGGCCAAAATCTTATAATGATTATAACCATTACTATATATTGAATAACGAATATGTTACGCTAAGTGGGCATATGAAATAAATGGTGAGCAATAAATTCGCGATATGACCAAAGTTTCTGAAACTTTAGTTTAAATGCCACAAATGTGGGCATGTAAAGGAAGGTAACACAATTAGCACAAGTGACTTGAGCAAGTCAATAGAAGATGTTTATGTAAGCAATATGTTATATTTCTAACTATAAAATATATACATTGAAACCTGATAGCAAACCCACTTCCTTAAAGAAATGAACTCAGCACGTAAGCAAGCGGTTATTAACTGAATCCGGCTACCTGCCAACGCTTCGCCAGTTCTGTCTATGTTCTCGACAGCACCCGCCGCATTTCGAAGCTCATCCACAGTGGTGTTGCTCATGGCGCGCTAGGCCTGCTTGACTCATGCACTCCCGATCGTATGTGCTACAACATCATGGTGTCGACGTCGATGGAGTACAACCCAGTAAAGCCTGTCGCTTCCGCACCTGTCGCCTTCTCTGCGCGTGCAGCTCGGCAACTAACTTTGTGCTCAGATCACGCCATGCCTGCCGATCATACGCTTTTGATGCCCATAATCTGAAACCAACGTTAGAACGTGGTAGGCTTACTTTGCCCACGTCCTGGTAACGAAGCTTCGGTTGCCCTACACGCCGCTTTCCCACACTCTATTGACTATACAAAGGTCGCTTCGGTATCCGCGTCGAATCCATACTGCACACATGACAGAGCCACCTAAGATATCTCAGCGAGTGTATCCAGTGCACTGCATACATTCCGTTTCGGCGCAACACCTCCGTGTCTACAATTCTATCGCATAAACTGACGTGCAGAATCCGTCGCGCTGTTCTTGAAACCGCTTGAGATACTTCGAGTCGCGCCGGTAAATCGTCTACGTTCCGCCGCCGTAAAGAAGAACGGACAGTACCATGAATTAGGAAACCATCGGCTTCGTGTCGACGGTAAAGTGGTGGTTGTACCACACGCGGTACTCTGGCTTCCCGAATGCCCCAGCTGTCTTTGGAAGGCGGATACGCAGCTCATTATATATCTGCTGGCCAGTCGTAAGCACACGCCCAAAGTAGCAGTAGCAAGAGGTGGTTTCCAATACTTCGCAACAATGCTGATTTTTGCCAGTATTGCTAATTGCACCTCCGGTAAAGAATGGTAAAGACAAACAGTTTTGAGTCTAATGACGCTGAGCCATAATTTTTCCGCTGTCGAAGCCAGAGCACCAGTCATGTGCTGCAACTTATCCGCGCTGTGTGCAAACGACGCACAAGCGTCCACAAACCGCAGCATACGGATAGTCGGTACAAACACAAGGGTTCTCGCACCTAATCAACGGATGTTCAACATCCATCATTACGGTGCACCACACGAACACCGTGTGTTCAAGCCGGATTAAGCGCACATGACATCATGGAATGGATAAGTAGTAAACAAGGCAGGAGCTGACAGCCTTGTTTCACACCAAATGTAACTGCCAGGACAACCTCCTCGTGGTGCCAACCAGGTAGTTCGGGTTTAACCCGTTCCAGCAAATAGTTTGTTGGCAGTGTTCTAGGGGGTGGTGGGTTTTCGTCTCGCAAGTATTCTTCCTAGAAAAAGCCCCATGTGTCTGCATAACAACCCTGTAACGTGTCGGTCGTGACACGCCACAAAATAAAGTCACTGCCCCGTGGATCCCCGGATAATCTTTTCTAACCCACAACCATCATTCTTCTATTCACACAATGCTGACGATATCAAACAGTCAAGAATAGGGTAGCCCAATTACAAGCAGCAACTGGACAGTTACATACACACGGTTCCATACTTACATACCCCTACCAAAACATACACTGTTATAGCAAACGTATCGGATATTTGCACACTCTTGATCAAGTATTGTGATGTCAAAATGAGCATACATGTAAAGCCATGCCTCACTTTGTCGAAAGGATAAGCTTAGTTTGTTTATGTATTTATACCCCCACTCAGCACCACCCTCGACCACATACACTGTGCAGACATCCAAGTAAACTTAAAACGCCACCCTGTCAAGCAAACTTACCTAACAGCAGCCGCAATGCTACGCCGTTCACCCTAACACATACTTTCGTGAAATCAGCTAACAGCTAATACAACGACTAGTGCCGTTCTCTACACTTCTCCTACAACTGACGAACCGCAAACACCATATCGACGGTGCTGCCACCCGAACCGAATTCACATTGCTCTTCCGCCACGTTCGGGTCCACTACCGGGCTGATGAGGCGGTTGAAAAGGCTTCGGCTGTTCTTCTTGCCCACACAACTACAAGTTCGCATTAGTCTCACCTTAGGTGCCTCGCGCATTCGGACTGCTGTCATCATCATCGGTTTATCTGTTCCTCTCCAACAATCGTATTATTCACTCAATTCTGTAAACACGCTTTGTTATATCGGGCTCTTGATCCTGCGGGTGCAGCACTTTCTTCCTACGTAGTAGTTGTATTCTGAGCCCCAACAGCGACGGGATGTGTAGAACGCGCTTACAAATCATGTATAACAAGCCTAAATATATAGGTTTTAATGTACCATAGGCACTGTTGCGCGCCACCAGTCTTTCGATAGTGCTCTTTGATTCATTGCTGCCTGTCTGTTTGGATTCCTCTTGTCCGTTGCCCGTCTTTTCCGAGGTTTCCAATTACATCGGCCAAAACAAGAAGGATTATCCACTGAAACTGGCCGACTTTTACTCAGTAGCCAACTGGCTTAAACACTTGACCATTTCTCCGGGAGATACAGAACCCAATCATCGTTCCAAATAGAGCTCTTTCCACCATTGTAGAGAAGCCGCTCTCAAGGGGCCTAACAAATAGGTCTGGCTCGCCTCGCATTCGCAGTAGCACAATTCACGCACCTGGAATATCCACATGGATCCCCTGTTCCACAACGGAAGACACACAATGCTGGCGTGATTACCTCGGTTAGGTTTGCTCATTCTCACCGGCATTCAACAACTTGGTTTCCGAAAGAACATTCCGATGCTCCATTCACCTACAGCTTTTCCGATATCATTCCACGGACAGTTTTACTCTCGGACAAATGGCTTTCCGATGGCCTTTCATGGAGTTTCCACTTGACCATGGAGGCAATTACACTCACTTACATTTGTAGGAATGCCGATTACATTTTGTGGAGATAGAAACCCGTAACGATCTCGCAATGGACAACGCAATGGCATTTTCGCCAGTTATGGACGTATTTCGCCACAAGAAACCTCTGCACTCACCATCCCCATGACAAGGCCAGCGTGGATAGCTGGACACGGGTTGCGAACCAGGCAAGTATGTAACGGAAAAGCCAGCCACTATTAACAAATTTTTACTCACCTGAAGCCTTTATCATTCGACTCTGCGACTCTTTCGCATCATTCACCGGTTTCATCTACTATTTCCAGTACACTACCAGGCCAATCGTTCAACCAAGGAAGAATTTGGTTGCCAACCAACTGCAAATAAAAGAAGGCAAAATCGGTCTGTATGATGTATAGCAGGTTAATACTACTGTTCAACGGGAGCCACAGCAGTGTTTCAGGACGTGGTGGGTTTTCGCCTAGCAAGCGCTCTCCCGCTAAAAAGCCACAAATATCTGCTTAACAACACTGCAACGTGGCGGATGTGACGCGCCACTGAATAAAGTCGCAGCTGAACATTTCACACTGACGCAGTCCTCACTTCTACATACAACCTGTGTAGCTGATTTTACTATTAAGAATGCCTTGATGGAGCGCAGAACATTCCGATTTCTTAATGCTCATTGATTGCACCAAAACCTTGTTTGGGCTCCTGCGCTCATGGATTATTACATGGCGTAACCACGCCCAAATTGTATCTTGACACAAAAGTTTTGCTTGATTATTACGCGCCCCGTCGCCCTCATGTTTCTTGGTCTGACAAGTACTTGACAAAATGCACACTCGTATGGACTACATTTTTTCTGTTATATCTTTCATTAAAACGAGACGTTTTACCATTCCAAAGAAGCTATGCTTGTATGCATTTTAGATCGCGTCTTCACAGGAGTGCCCCGTTTTACCGGGAATATACCATTTATTTATTTTTTATAAGTTGATACCACGATTAATCGTGGCACATTCTCTGCTTCCTTTGATTTCGCACGGTGAAGGCACCTCCTCCTCAGCGGTTCCAACCTACGTCCATACACGGCCTTCAAGGATTCAACGAAGGCCTTGTGTTGACGGCGTTCGACTCACCATTCCTTCTGCAGTACCTACCCCGTCCTCCATAAAATCGTTAATGTGACGGAGCTCTCGGGTCAGTTGCCGTCGAAGTTTGCGAAACTGACTCTTCTGCCCCAACACACTGGGGTCTGCCGCATGTGCAGCGAAGGCTGCATCCTTCTCGGAAACTACTACAACAATCATTGCATTGTTCTGCTTACACCAACCGAGCGCTTACATTTTACTCGCCCAAAGGTCTCTTCGGCAGCAGCTGCCGCCAGTTCGCGATTGTGATGCCACAGAAAGCAACCTGCGGCTATGAATTC